TTTTTTTTTTTTTTTTTTTTTTTGGCTCGCGCGGCTTGCGCATTTGCCAATATCAAGTTTTTTTTTTTTTTTTCCCCCCCATAAAACGAGGAAACGTGAAATTAGGAAAACAAGGAACGGAAATCGGAATTTGGAAAAAGGATAGATCAGGAAAGTAAATTAAAAGATTAGATATTAAATTATAGTATAAAAATACAGAGATATTTACATAAACTTAAGTATAGGACATAAGTATTATACAGTTTTTTTTATGTACAATGGTTAATTGTACATAAAAAAACAATCAAACTTTTAAGTTATTTACATTGATAAAATCACAGATGAATTTATGAATATTTACATCATTAAGACTAAGTAATGCTAATATGGTGGTAGGGAAAGGAATTTTATGGGAAATGAGATTATTTATAAAGGAATCACGGTTGATAAGAGGACATGAAAAGAAAATATGGTTCAGATCACCTTCGTCCAACCCACACTCGCATAATGAACTATTTAAAATATGAAGTCTGGCCAGATGCACCGGAGTGCAGACATGACCTAACCTCATTCGGATTAACATTGAGGTAACATTTTTACCAAACTTAGATTTAAAAAACCAAGGTTTGCGCGGAATTTGAGGCTGAATAAGTGAATACAATTTACCTTTAGACAGACTCGACCATTGCCATAAACTGGTCCATGTATCATATAGGTAAGCTTTTGGTAAATTTAACAAATCGTGACTATAGTTTTTAAATGGAAACATGTCACCACAGTATATAGCTTCATTAGCGACGCGGTCTGCAGTTTCATTTCCTAAAATTCCGCGATGACCCGGAACCCAAGCAAATTGAATTGAATATCCCTTCAGTGAACATTCAAAGGCAATCTTTCTTGTATCAAAAATAATAGGATATGGAGTTTTATGATGGAATGGAAATTTTTCCAATGCCTGAAGGGCACTTAACGAATCTGTGAAAATAATGGCTCTTTTCAATTTCATTACACGAATATATTCTACTGCCTTAAACAAGCCAAAACATTCCCCTGTGAATACCGAAGACTCAGGAGGAAGCTTCACTTTTTGTACTATTTTAGATTGCGAGTGAAATACACCCACGCCTACACAGCCAGAATTGGAATGTTTAGAAGCGTCTGAAAAAATATGGTGATAATCATTAAATTGTGTATCAGTAATAAACCTAAAATTATCCTTAATGTAAGGGTCTAACTTATCAAAAAGGTTGTAATGAATTACCGGGGAAAAGGTTAAGACTTCATATGAATTGGAAAACAGAGGAAGAAGATTAGAGCAATGAGTAGGAGAAGTGAGGGACAAGAACTTTTGGTAACTAATTAATATACAGGGCAAAGACTTATGAGACCAATAACTATCAGAGGATACCTCTTGGAGAGCCTGGAGATTGGATATAAGAGGATGGTTATTTAACTGAATAACTCTGAAAATAAATCTGTCAGATAGATACTGTCTTCTTAGATGGAGTGGGGGCTCACAGGTTTCAACCTGAAGAGCATTTATCGGGCTAGACCTCATCGCACCCGTAATAATTCTTAAAGCCTTATTTTGGATTAAATCCAGCTTTTTAAACGCTGAAACATTTGCAGGTTCCAATAGAAATGTGCCATAATCTAATATACTCCTAATTAATGCGTTATATATCAATTTCATAGAAAAAGGATGAGCTCCCCACCAGACGCCTGAAAGGCATCTTAGCATATTAAGAAGTTTTTCACACTTGTTGGAAACAAAGTTACAATGAGGAACTCCGGTAAGTTTTGAATCAAGGATTACACCCAGAAACTTGTATTCATTGAGAATAGGAATAACATTATTAACATAGTACAACTGAAAAGGAGTAGGATTGCGCATACGAGAAAAAATAACTACAGCGCTTTTAGCTACTGATAAATTCATACCATTTTCATCCATCCAGATTTTAAGCAGATTAAGAGAGTTCTGTAATAGGTTTTGAGTTTGCCCTACAGACGGGCTAGATTGATAAAGTAATAAGTCGTCTGCGTACTGAAGTATTTTTATATTATTGCCTAAAGATGAAGCTAGATCATACGTGTATATATTATATAGAAGGGGGCTTAACACAGACCCTTGAGGTAATCCTCTCCACACTGAGCGCTTTGTTTCTGAGTCGGCGACCGGAAGTATTAAACACCGCTGAGATAAAATCTTTAAAATAAAATTACATAGCAAATGGGGCACTTTTAACGCATTTAACTTAGTTTTTAAAACAGATAAAAGAACATTATCATATGCAGAATTTATGTCTAGGAACACCGCTATGGGAGACTCATTTAACGTAAGGGAATACCGAATATCAGATACAAATATACTAATACTATCTAATGTGGATTTCCCTTTTCTGAAACCATATTGGCTATTGGCTAACAGGCTGTTACTTTCAATATACCATTCTAGGCGATTTTTAATCAGACGTTCTGCTAATTTAAGTAGCACCGACGATAACGATATTGGACGGTATGAAGAAATGTCGGAAGAAGGTTTGCCTGGTTTCAGAATCGGTAATACAATCTGTGATTTCCAAGATGGAGGAATGTCACCTGTCAACAATATGTCATTGATGATGGATAAATAATAACAAAGGATGCTATTGGAAATGTTGGCTAAAAATGCATAAGAAATCCCATCTGCTCCAGGAGCAGAGTCTTTGGCGTTAGCAATAGCGCCTTTGAGCTCAGTTATAGTGAAGGGAGAATTTAGACCAATCAATTCTTGCGAAGAATATGGAAAAAGGCTAATGTTTTCTGGTACCCAGGGTGGGGCTAACTTATCAAGAAACTCGTCCGCTAGAGATACAGGAACTGTGCTGAAAGAAGAGTCTGTCATAGCTGATCTAAATCTTTTAATATTGCGCCACACTAAGGTCGGAGGAGTGTTTGGTGAAATAGAATCACAAAACTTCCTCCATCCATCGAACTTCTTCATTTTAAACAGTTTTCGCGTATCAGCTGTAATTTCTAAGAGTATATTATAATTATCTTCATTCATATTATTTTTATAGTTTATTTCGGCCTCTTTACGATTTTTGATAGCTATAGTGCAGTCTTTATCCCACCAAGGGGGGGAAGGTATTTTTGTAGGGGTAGTCTTTTTAGGAAAAATTTCATTAGCGGCATCTACTAAAATATTAGCCAAAGCAGCAGCACAAGAACTAAGGTTATTTGAATCGAAAACTGGAAGTAATGATGCTCTTCTTTCAACACAACTCCTGTACTGGTTCCACTGAGTAACTGATTTACTAGGGATGGAGTATCTGAGCCGAGAACAGTGGCTAGAGTTTGTTGACCTTATGGATGGAAAAGAGATAATGATCGGAAAATGGTCACTGCCGAAAGTTGACTGTAATGTTTCCCAGGATAGTGTAGAAGCCAGGCTAGGGGTGCAAATTGATAGGTCAACAACACTATTGTTTTGACCAGGTTGAGAACGACGGGTGGGTGCTCCTGTATTTAAAATACAAAGGTTATGTGCATCAAACATTTCAATAAAATCTTCACCAAAACTATTAGTTAGCGAGCTACCCCAAGATTGGTGGTGGGAGTTAAAATCTCCTAATACTAGAAAAGGTCTAGGGAGAAGGGAGAATAACCGGTTAATTACTTCAGAAATATCTACAGATGGATGAGGAATGTACAATGAAACTATACAGATATTATACACACTTATAGCTACAATTGACATATTTACAGAATGGGAAGGTAGTGAGATAATAGAAAATGGCACTGAGCTTTTAACTAAAAGTGCAGTACCACCATACCCATCAGGTCTGTCATCTCTGACAGAGGTATATCCATGCACTTTAAAATTTTGCATGGGTTTGAGCCATGTCTCTGCTAAAGCAAAGACAAATGGCTTATATTTGTTTAGCAAGTATATAATTTCACTTTTTTTACTAACTATGCTGCGACAGTTCCACTGTAGCAGCTTAGCTTGCATCGCCATCTTGAATGACTCTCATACACTTATCAATTATATAGGCAGCGTGGGACGGTGAACTAGAATTTGACTTAGAAACAATATTAATAAGAGCAAGTATTAATTCAGGTAGAGATACTGGTGATTCTTTATTATGAAATTCGGTATTAATAGCACAACCATTAGATGGGGAAGGAATTAAGTTTTCCCTAATGATAGCCTCATGTGCTTCACGGTCATAGCTTTTGCCTAATGTGGGAGTGGAACGAGGAGTTTTGTATACCGTTTTTTTGTAGGATGAAACAAGATTAGGAGACTTATCCTGTACTATTTGGGAATTCGATTTTGCTGTAACTATGTCTGCATAAGACTTGGATACTGGTGGATGAATTTTTGAGGCTTCTGCATATGACATGGAGTTATTAGCCATAGAAGTTTTTATGTTTTTCTGTCTTAGAAATTCAGGGCAGGATTTACTTGTGGCATAGTGGAACCCAGAACACAAACAGCATGATGCTTTAATTTCGTCAGTTTGGCATGTGTCGCCAGCATGACCTTGGCTACACTTGAAGCATCTTGCTTTGGAACGACATTGAACTTTTGTGTGTCCAAAACGGCAACAATTATAACACTGGATAGTGGGAAAAATGTAAAGCTCTACAGGTAAGGCATTATAACACATAAATATGCGCTTAGGTAATACTTGTCCATCAAAAGTTAATACAATGGATTGAGATGGTTTCCAAATAGGAGCACCATCCACAAAGACTTTGTAATTCAGCCGCCTAACTTTTATAATTTTACCACAATCATCTGGTACTGTAATGTTTTCAATTATTTCCTCCGGTGACCAATCCGCTGGTATACTTCTCACAAGGCCCATCCTTGTAACATTAAAGGAGGGAATGAAGGCTTTGTAGTTTTTGGTCACTAAACTATTGTGAGTTAAAAACAGGTTCGCATGGTTGAAGTTCGAGAATGAAATCGAAATTTTGTTCCGGCCAATTTGCTTTACACTACCATTAACTATACATTGAAAGGAATTCTGTTTCAGGAATTTCCCAAATGAGAGTGCGTGCATTGACGGACCTTCATTTGGGCTAGTTTCGATCTTCTGAACATGGACTACGTAGGGCGCACTGTCTGATTCATTATACAGATTACGAGCAATTGGAGTAGGGTTGGACGGAGGCAAGTCAGAGATACTAGTTGCAGGTGCAATGACCTTTTGCTGTGTCTGTGGAACATCTTGGTGATCCATATCAGTAGATTCTTCTGTCATATTTTTAGCAAGAAGTCTACGTTCAATTTTAGCCTGATGTTTACGACTTTTCTTATTACGGCTACGCTTGCGAGGGCAAGCTGTTGAACCCGATGTGGAATTATCGGATTCCCAACCATGGTTAGATGTAACCGTAACGAAATGACCCGCCGGCGGAACATTACTAGCATCAAGGGAAATTTCATCGGGCGGCAGAGAACCGCCCGGATCGGGCGGGTCGTTCATTGCGGCTCCAAGTAATTAAATAAATAGACTCACCGGTAGTACAGCAAGATTTAAACACTATCTACATAAAATATATACACAAAACAATAAATTTACAAGAACACTATACAATACTGATCTATTTATATGCTAAAACAAATTTACAAAACTTTTGAACCAAAAAAGACGCCCGTCGCGTTCAACGTTTCCCGCGCTTTTTCGACAGACTTTTATTTGTTGACATTTTGTTCATACTCTCTAATCTGTGATTTTGTTGCGCGGTAAAATGGATATGAAATCAAGAAAATATGTATAATTAATCTTTATTTAGCAACATTGTTATTATCATGAGTCACCAGATTTGTATGTTTAAAGCTGAATTGTCCTTTTTTTATTTTCTGCACTTTGAAAATGTAAACACAGTTTTTCATATTTTTCAGCTTTTTCCTCGATAAATCCTGAGTTTTCTCTTCGAATAGTGGTTTGTGATCATTACTTAACGAAACCAGTACCAGGGCTTGATGTTATTTATTCAGATTTTCGAGGAGCTGATATTAAACAGGTTGTTATGGTTTGCATAACCTTAATAATTACTAACATCCTATACTTAATATTAACTCACAATAAAACGTTTCAGGTACCAGTACTAAGGATATTTGGACCTGCAACAGATGGTCATAAAGCATGTCTTCACATCCACGGCGTGTTTCCATACTTTTATATTCCTTGTCCTACATCTAATCCTGAGCCTCAATTCCTGTATCAAGTAAGTGTTGCATAGAAATAAAAGTATTTAAGTGCAGTCGACATTTCGTTGCAAAATAGCCTTTATTAGAATGATATAAGACTGTGGTGTGTTTAACTTGATGTACTGTAATCTAAGGCTTTCATGCATACATAAATAAATACTATTAAACAGGGCCGGATCTACCTATGGGCTGATTGGGCTGCAGCCCAGGGCCCCGGGGTTACAAGGGGCCCCCAGATCCCGCTAAAAAGTAGGCCATAATTTGAAAAAAAAAAAAAGTTGTCTGTAAAGTCGGTTTACGGACGATATTTTTACGTGACAACGTCATAAGAAGTTTCAGCCCAGGGCCCACAAATTCACGATCCGGCCCTGCTATTAAATTCTTTATATTTTCAGATAGCAGCAAGCCTAGATAAGGCATTAAACATAGCCTTGAAACAAGCAACATCAACAACTCAACATGTTTATAAAATATCGCTGGTCAAGGGATTGTAAGTTGCTTGTTATCATTTAACTAAAATTATGTTGCCCTTATAATTGAAGTATGTACTTGCATAAGTTGGAAAACCAATATGTAATGCAGGCATTCCTGTATCTACCTGGGTAAATTATTTCATTAAATTTTTGTTTTAGGCCATTCTATGGATTCCATGACAAAGACCACTTATACTAAAAGTATTTCTGTATAGTCCCAACTTGATAAAGCAGGCTGTAGAGTTGTGCAGCAATGGAGCCATTTTGGGCCAGACATTCCAACCCCATGAGTCCCATTTGAACTTCACTCTACAATTTTTCATTGACTTCAATCTTTTTGGCATGAGCAACATTGACTTGCAAAGGGTTAAATTTCGAAAAACAGGTATTTCCCAAGACAGCAACGAGCCTAGAAACAGCTTTGATGAAGCTACCCTCAAAGCTGAAAGTATATGCTTTTATGAAGCTGACTGTGTGGCTTCACATATCATTAATAGACAAAGAGTGGGTAAAGGTGATGGAATCGAAAATCCAGGCCTTGAAGAGGTATGGCAGCAAGAAAAAGAAAGACGAAAGCAGTTGAATATGTCAATGGCATCCAAATCTTTATCCCAGGGAAGAATTGGGGCTGAAGAAACAGAATCTCATCACAAATATGAGCAGATGTTTTTGATCAAGTTATCTGGTTCCATAGACACACCAGTGATTATTGAGGCAGACAAAAAGAGGGAATTGGAACAGGTATATTATCCTGCAGAAAGCCTGGAGGGATCTCAATTATTTGATGCAGTAGATGTGAGCATTCATTTGCCTGACAATAAAGGGAGGCTTAGTTTGGGATTGAGTCAAACATTTAGAAAAGACTTGGATGAAACTCTTGCTGAAGATATGGATGAAACAATTGTTGATGAGAGTGTAGCTCTAAATAGCAGTCTCTCTTTACATTACAGTCAAGTTCTTTGTAAGTATGACAGTCTGAATCAAGTATTTTTAAATAACACTATGTTTTCACCCTTATCAACTTTCAATTTTCTTTTAGTAAACAGTGAAGACTTAGATTTAGTAGATATGCTAAATGATATGGATGAAAAACCCATTGAAGAAGATAGTGTGATGGGTACTCCTGTAAATGGTGATCAAGAAGAAGATAATGAATCTGATGATGCTGAATATTCCCAGATCTACAATGAAGAGACCATCATTATGGATCCCCATCAAAGGTTTGTTGACATTGCTTAGTTTGTAAATGAGAAGATTATGTAATCCGGTTAATTTACTTTAGTTCATTATATTTCAGTAAAGATGGAGATGATGAAAATTCACCTTCATGGAATGATTCCTTCTGGGAAGGAGCAAACATACCTCAATTGGATGGCACATGTGATGACGATCGTATGTATTTCTGTTTTTATTTTCTCTAGATATTTACTGGGAATGTATATTACAATATACATACTTGTTTGATTTTTTAGATGTTAAAAAAGTAAGAAAGAGAAAGATGAGGTCTCTGAAATTGGGCTTGTCAAAGCCAAAAAATAAGAAAAAACCTGCTATTAGTAATGCAGAAGAAGAGCTTGAATCAAATGTAGATGTAAGTGAACTTGATGAAATAAATGTATCCAGAGATACAATAGATAGTATTTCTAGTTTACATCTGAAAAGAAATGTTAAGATAGAACCACAAAGTGTTATAGAGAATGCAACTGACTGTGATATTAAAGAAGATGATAATAATATGTTAGATTTAGTTAATAAAGTTACTGTTAAGCATGAACTGAAAGCATCTGAATTGTATGACATTCAAAATAAGTATGTTCCTGATGCTGGCACATCAAATGTAAAATTAAAGGAAGTATTGTTCAATAAATCTAGCCTAAACATGTCGTGTGAGTCGTCAATTGATGATGACGATGAAAAGAGATTAGGCATAATGAGCTTTTACGATACTTCAAAATTTGATATGTCTCTAGATAAATCATTAAATAATAGCGATATACAAGATAAAATTACAGATATTAAAATATCATTTAATAATAGTAATGTACCGAATACAAACATTCAAGCAACTGAAGAAAAAGATGAAAGTTTCAACAAATTAGTTTATGAAGACAGTCCATACTGTACCATATTGACGCCTAAAATTCGTCCACCCACAAGAAAATATATTATCTCTAGTCTAGAGACATACAAAATTCCCAAAATTAGAAATCCAGTACCTTATTACTCCGATCCTAATGATGTTGGTGGTAAAGTTGAGATTGGTCAAATGATATTGAAGTTACAAAGCAAATGTTCGCGCGATCAAAAAGCGTTTGATAAAATGTTAGACACAACCAGCATTGAAGAATGGCGCCAATTATTATTTTTGAAAACGAATGAAATGACAGAAGAGTGTTCGAAGCCTGATGGACTGAAGAAGTTGCTCTCGGGAAACAAGGAATACGTACTGGAGCCTTATAAAAAACCACCGACTACTAGTCAAGTGAAAGAATATCTCCAAAGAGCAGATAAGGTAGAGAAAACAAATGAAAATCACGAAGAAATAAGTAAAATTGTTGATGAACTTGATAATTCCCAAGTTATTGGTTTAAACGATGAAATTGATAACAGCATAAGTCTCGAAAGTAACGAAAAAGTAAGTGGCATACTCATACAAACTACTTTAAAGTAACATTGGCTTAAAATAGTCTATAATTTTGATACTTATTCACAGGATAAAACACAGTCCAGTCTCCAAGTCACAATGCAACCAGATGGGTCATTTCTGTGTTTCGGTACTGGTGACCATCAGAAAGAGAACACCATTGAAACTCCTACAGTAGAGGTAACTTAGGTTTAACACATTTAGTACTATTGCAATTAGCGATTCACGTGTAACTTGATTTCATTTATTCATATTTAGGTGGATTACCTCACGATTATGCTAACGGAAGTTCACACATCGGTAAGAGGTGAACTACATCCAGACCCAGCTATCGATGCAATTCAAGCTATATTTGTAATCGTCACAAACGACTGCCCACCAAACAGTTGGCTCACAAAAACAATTAAAGAAATACTTGTCATTGACGATACTGATCACACAAAATTCTTAGATAGATGCGTATTTAATGTTCCAGTAACTTATGTAAATAATGAAAATGAAATGATAGAAAAACTAATTGATTTAGTGAAGAAGCATGATCCAGATATAATGTGTGGTTATGAAATAGAGATGAATTCCTGGGGGTATATTCTTGAGAGAGCTCAGTTGCTAGGCATGGAAATTGTGAAAGAGATATCGAGGATTACAGAAAAGTATAGGCAGAAGCGATGGAGAAGTGAGGACAATGAGTTGGAAGGGCGAGTTATAGGCAGGGTTACTTTTAACGTTTGGCGCCTTTTTCGCCACGAGTTGGCGCTTTCCAGCTACAGTTTTGAGAACTGTATGTACGAAGTTTTAAAAGAGAGGGTGCCAAAGTACACGTTTGCGCAGCTTGCGAAGTGGTGGGCTCATGAGTCGAGGATGTTGAGATGGATAACAGTTGAATATTACATGACGCGACTGACTGGAACTGTTCGGATGTTGGAGAAACTGGACATAATAAGTGAGTAAATAATCAATTGCCAAATTCCTTCTTTCTGACTGGATATCGCATTCTCCCCTTGTGTTGTTCCTCTAATTATTATTGTCCTATGCTTTCCAATAGGTACCAGAACCTTGAAAGTGAAATTAAATTTCAGATCGGACATCGGAACTGGCAAGACTTTTCGGTCTTCAATGGTGGGAGGTATTATCTCGCGGTTCGCAGTTTCGTGTGGAATCTCTGATGCTGCGGGCCGCAAGACCTCTCAACCTCATTGCTCTATCACCCACAGTACGCCAGAGAGCAGCTATGCGCGCCCCAGAATGCCTTCCATTAATATTTGAACCAGGTAATGCTATTCTGCAGATATTCTTTGAAATTCTAACAAGAACTGTAAAGTCTCCATCTTGCGTTTAGCTTTGAAGAAAAAATCTTAATCCACAAATATGTTACTACGCGCCATGTGTGTTCCGTACTTCTGTCTCTGTATATTCTTATCTCGGTGTTCATATTTTTCCAGAATCGCGTTTCTACTCTGATCCAGTGATCGTCTTGGACTTCCAAAGTTTATATCCATCAATGATGATAGCATACAACTATTGCTTCTCCACTTGCATTGGACGCGTACAGAATATTAATGGGTATGTGTGAAGAATTATTTTTATATTTTTTAGCTGATAAGTATTGGAGAATAAATTGTTTTACTTTTATTTCAGTGATGCAGCTTACGAATTTGGAGCCTGGCGACTGCGGATACCCAAAGCAAAGTTGGAGGCTCTTGTCAAGAATGGTCTAGTACACTGGTCGTCAGTAGGCGTAGGGTTTGTCAAGCCGTCTGTCCGGCGAGGCGTGTTGCCCGCTTTGTTGAGGAGGATTCTGGCTGCAAGGCAGGCTGTGAAAAAGAGCATGAAGCAACAAACTGATGAAGCTGTTAAAAAAGCGATGCATTCCAGACAGTTGGGTGAGAAATCTTTTTTATCTCAAATTATTAAGAGTTGTAACCGTAGTATTAATGATAATTACTTTCTAGGTCTAAAGCTAATAGCAAACGTGACGTACGGATACACAGCCGCTAACTTTAGCGGACGAATGCCGTGCGTAGAAGTGGGAGACAGCGTAGTCGCGAAAGGGCGCGAAACGCTGCAGAGAGCCATCAAACTTGTGCAGAATAACTCCAATTGGAACGCTAAGGTATGTAGATGTTTTTGAACATGTCCTGTAGCAGACGTAATGTACTGAAGAGGAAACCTAAGTAATGGATACCGGGTCAGTGACCAAATATTCATTTTTCACTAGGTGGTATACGGTGATACCGATTCCATGTTCGTGGTGGTCCCTGGCGGCACTAGAGCCGAGGCTTTCGCGATAGGACAACAGATCGCCGACGCGGTAACTGCGGATAATCCATCCCCTGTCGCGCTTAAGTTAGAAAAGGTAAGTAAAATTTTAAAACTTCATTTTTATTTCTTTGAAAATAAACCCTAAATTGTAAAATCTGATAAAAATTCTGCTATGTATAGGTATACCAACCATGTATCTTGCAAACTAAGAAGCGTTACGTAGGCTACATGTATGAAAGCCCCGAACAGGAGAAGCCTATCTATGAAGCTAAAGGCATTGAAACGGTGCGGAGAGACGGTTGTCCTGCAGGAGTCAAGGTACTTATCACGATATGTTAATGTAGCTTTTCAAACCTGGGCTAAGAAACCAATGAATCGTTAAATAAAACGTCAAATTTTAAAATTAAACGTTAATTTATAGCTTCTCCAACGCTCGTTGTGCGAGCTATTTGAAACTGGAGACATGTCGCGCGTCAAACGACTGGTCACTTCCACTCTGGCCAAACTAATTGATGGCTCGATGCCTCTGCCCGAATTGTTCTTTACGCGGGAGTACCATGGACCTACTGGCTACCGGCCCGGGGCAGTCGCTCCACCTAATGAGATTGCTAAGTAAGTAAAGTAGGTCTTTTTTCGTAAGATATTTTGAAGTGAGTCCAGTACCTCTAGTACGAAAAACTTTCGAGTTCGTTTCGTTTGCGTATTCAAAGTGTCATCGAAAAATTTTGTATGAAAAATTAAACAGCGCCCCCTAGGGCGGCTATAATATTGGGGGCGCTGTTTAATTTTTCATACAAAATTTTTCGATGACACTTTGAATACGCAAACGAAACGAACTCGAAAGTTTTTCGTACTAGAGGTACAGAAGTGACAAAGTAAGCCGCCGGGTCGAGCAGAATTGCACAAAAAGCCCCTGTCAGGTCAAGCTGGTTGAGAACTTAAAAGTTTTGTCAATTTAGTTTATGTGAAGACGTTTAATCACTTAAATATTGTCGAAAACGATTAACAAACCGCTTATAAAAGCTGACAGTTGAAAGGCAAACTTCTCTTAGTTTGCCTTTGTACGGCAGGAGACGTGTAAAAGCTGATTTAATATAGAATTTAATAAATTATCTTCTCCTATGCTCTGTAGTGGAGGTCTGGTACAAGGGCCAGTTTTAGGACCACTGACATTTAACTGCTATGTCTTATGACTTAATTTTTTTGTCTCTAGGCGTATTGCTTCTCGCGACAGACGCGCCGTCCCCCGCACAGGAGAACGCGTCTTCTGGCTCGTTAGCGGAGGAACCCCTGGGACTCCACTAGTGCGCCTGGCGAGGACTCCAAGCGAGATAGCGAAGGCACCAGTAGAACCACACATCTCGTACTACGCTGCACGCGTTTTACTACCGCCGTTGCATCGATGTCTGTCGTTACTTGGGGCTGATGTTTTTCATTGGTAAGTTATACACATATACGTTCAAGTTTACATTTATGTCACTTACACATTCAAGTTTTCATTTATGACAATGACCCAACCAACTGGCATTGGAATGAGATGTTAACTATTGCTAATTTACTTTTTTCCTTTTGTTCTGGTTTTATCAACCAATATCTTATCTGGAAAGTTCATAAAGTTCATAGTGAGTTTGTTCCGGCGTTTCTTCTCAGCACTTGCCATATGTTTGTCTCGAAGCGCTGGTAGGGCCCAAAAGATAAGGAGACATGTAAAGTGCCCCATAAGGGCTACCTTTTTCTTTTTTTATTATTTTCTATTGACGTTCATAAGTGCCACTTGTGGTCTAAACTGAATAAATATTTTTGATTTTGATTTTGATTTTTAAAGTCCTCTGTGAAATTTGGTATTTTTTCGGCCGCTCCGAATCGGATTCAACCCTTACAATGAATCCAATTGGGAACGATAATTTTATTACTTTTACACAAAGTAGAATATCCTTTTTTTAATAAATATTTGGAAAATTTCACACAACACCATCTATTTAGCACCAAAGTAAGCTACTAATATGCTTGTGTTATGGGTGCTATATTCTGGTCCGGGAGCACGTAGAATTTTGTCCAATGACCCCAATGACGCGTAATTATATTGCTGTCGCGACTGTGGGACGGGCGCCCGCAGTGAGTGTGCGAGCGCGACAGCAACATAATTACGCGAGCGATAAGGATGGGTAGCTTGGGGTCATTGGACAAAATTCTACGTGCTCCCGGACCACACTATAGCTGAACCTTGCTTTATCTTTGCTTCATCATTACATCTGCTACCTTCAAATCCAGGTGGCGGGAACTAGGCCACACTCGCGCGGCGTCAGCTCGCAGCGCTTGCGGCGGCATCGCCCGCTACATGTGGCGCGTGCGATGTGCGCGCTGCGGCGCATCCGCTCCTGCCGCTCTGTGCGTGCGCTGTGCAAGCGCCACCGGGCTCGCTGCTACACTGCATGCAGCAGTGACGAGACAACAATACTGCTATACTGTGAGTTGTTGCCAAGAACTAGAAACTAATGCCAGTTTTCACCATCAATCCCTAATTTTTAAGTAACCCCTATGGTAACACATGACAGGCATATTGTTTTCATAGGGGTCACTTAAAAATTAGGGATTGATGGTGAAAACGGGCATAGTAGCATGGTTTTTGACCTTAGCCTGTTCCAGTTGGAAAATGTCAAAAAAGTGGTTGTCCTGCCAGAATCTTCTATATAACATTCCGAGATCTTAAAAGTATTATAGAATTCGTAAAGTAATTAATGGGCTTCTAACAGGGAAAGGTTTTCTTTACATTAAGTGAATATGTACACTTGATAACTAATGGCCAAAATATTATTTTTAAAATTGCGGTTAGCCTGGTTTCAGTTTCAATGTAGACACATATTTACGGAAAATATTGCTGTTAATTACTATTTACTGTTGTCTTTTATTGAGCTCTAACTAATGTTTTTTTTTACCAACAACTTACTTCAGATATGCCGTTCATGCTGTGGCCATGGTCAGTCTGATCAGTGTGAGAATACAGAGTGCCCTCTGTTCTGGCGGCGACTCACCGCCAACCACAAACTAAATGAGGAGCGCGACATCGCAGCCAATCTACCGCCAGATTTCCTCGCCGAGAAATTAGATTTTTAAACAATCATGTGCAATCTTTAGAACTTTTAATATAATAAAATAATATTTATGTATACAAATTGTCTTTCAGTTATCAAGCAATTTGATGGTTAGTTTTAATGAATACACATTTTACTCTTTCGAAATGTATGTATTCTTAAGTTTTGCAGATATTTAATATAAAAGGCTATTGAAATATCTAAGTCATGGAACTCTTTATATCTTCTAATCTTTCGGCAAATGCTTCATTTAGTTCCTTAAACTCTGGGATAGTTTTTTCAATGTTATTGTATATAGCTTTCTTCTCACTCTCAGTACAAAGTTTATAAAGAGTAATGAATATGGTCTGCATTTTTGTTTGTGCATCTTTTTCTTTGTGGCATATGTATAGCATCTTGATCAGTGTAGACATTAGTTTCTGGTTTTGTGATAGTTTCCAGACACACCAACAGTATTTGACCCAATTTTCAAGACACTGCAAAATAATTTGGTGTAAAAATCTGAGAATCAGTCAATAAGATCTTTTTGACTAGAGAATACTTTTTACCCACCTCTAATGTGTCAGACAATAATATTTCAGCAACACCACTGTTGCTGCAAGTATCCAAATTATCACATATCACAGTCAAAAACATGGTCCTCTTAGCACAGTGGAGTCTATGCATATGTATTATTTTGTTGATGAAGCGAAAAAATGCTTTCTTTCTGTACAAATTGGTTTCTGTGTACATCTGTTCTAATATTATACCCAATGTATCATCAACTGTGGTGACCTAAAACAAATAAAATTTATGCACTATATTTTTAGTTTGATGTGAGATCAATGGTTTTTCTTATTTGTTAAAGATAACTTTATTATGAATGTATTAAATTAGAATACCTTTACTGAAGATGGTAAAAGTTGGAAAAGAATGAACAAACAATCCAACACCCACTTAGTCACTTCCAAGTCAGATTCCAAAATTAGTTTTTTCAATACATTATAAATAACTTCATAGTAATTACCATCACTAAAGTGTTCTGGTGTCTGAAAATGAATAGAAATAATTTTAACAGGCTTGGATCATAATTATGTTCTTAAATTTAAATTTTACATTCACCAAATATACTGACCAGGCAATTCAATGTAGCCAGGCAACTTTTTAACCCTTTCAACCTGTTTTCGTTAACATAATCTTCAATTAGGAGCAAGGATATAGGTAGCACAGTTACCGGTTTAATCTCTATATCATAATACTGAAACAAATTGAAAAAACATTAGATAAATTGTTTATAATTTAAAACAAACAGGCAAAGCTTTGGTAAATTTTACAGTATACCTTACCATGATATCTTTTAAAATCATACAATATGCTTCAATGAGTGCAGGGTACATTTTAAATTCATCTGGGTTTAACTTTTTATGCAAGACATCTATGCTAATATCAAACAACTCTTGAGTAGTAGTATCTTTATTGCTCATTAGCAAATTATCGCACGAAGTTATTCCATATAATACTTCCAGTTGAATATCTAATTTCTTGATGCATTCCTCACATTTGTTGTTGTTCCACTTATCTTTGCTATCCAGTTGATAGTATAATAAAAGAATAGATGAAAGCACTGAAGATAGTGATCCATGTTCTTTAGGATCCAAGTCATTTAATAAATCCATGAGAGTTGGAAAATGTTCAGACAAATTAGTTTCCCATTTTTTAAATTCTGGATGATTCTCACTTTCCTCAAAGTTTCGTGAAAGCTTTGGTACATAACAGCGTTCAAGCAATTCTAAGACGCTGGATATTGAACTCATTGTTAATTTAAGTTAGTTAGTCCAGTTATTAATCTTTTACCAATTAAATTAAACAATTTACAAATGTATTGATTCAACGAACTTCACGTTATAACAATCGTGCGTTATCAAAACATATGACATTGACATTTTCACTTGACACATAGTGATGTTAATGTAGCCTATCGATGTATCATTTCTTCATTCAATTACCTGATTACGATATTAATTGGATGTTGACTTTCGATTGACGGGAAGATATACGTTCAAATAGCACATAGTGACAACTTCAGAATCGGTAAAATAGTTTGAGAGAAGAAAATAATTTTGAGGTTACCCAAAAATTACATAATTTTGTTTTTAGTAAATATCGCGCTTATTAATATAGAAGATTACATGATTCAATAGCTTCCAAAATGCTGAAGTAAGTTGATAAAACTCCTGAAAGAATATAGTCCAAAATGTGAACACTCACAGGCTACCTTTTGTTTCTCTGTTGAATTGAATTGATAAGTGTATCTCATTTAAAGTACAAATTGATTGCAGGTTTGGCATAAAGTCAGCTGTATTAGGTGGAGCAGTATATTATACAATTGATAAAGGAGTTTGGAAAGACAGTACAGCGACAAGTGCTATTTATGAAGATCTTGAAAAGGGAGTTTCACCTTATGTTGGTAATCTGAAAAAACAAATTCCATATGAGGTAATTTAAATACAGCTCTAGGCTACCAATATCTTTGATTTTGTTTTTTAATTAACTGAGATATCATTTAATTATATTTTTAATTTATTACAGTTGCCTCCGCTTCCATCAAATGATAGAGTATCATATCTATTCAAGTACTACTGGAATTGTGGAGTCAAAGCAACCTTCAGATTTTTAGTAGATCTTCCAACACACACATCCAATGCAACAAGCAAAGCTGTTGAATTTGTGTCTTCGTCTTTAAATGCAGTTGAACCAAGCACAAGTCCTAGTGAAGAAAAAGCAAAGTGAGAGAATATTGTAGAAAATTCATGTATTTATTTTAAAATGGTTATTGGTAATTGTATGCATACAATATAATTTCAAAATGTAATTACTTGCCTTTTCTTTGTGTAATTTACCTGCAACATCTGTGGTGCTGTATGAGAACAAGTACAAGTTTGCTGGTTGGTGACCGTGTAGTAATGTAGACTGTAGGTAAAAAAGTTATAAACCTATATTTTCATTGTCTGTCAGGTAGGTAGGTACATAATTAACTTTATTAGCAGCTTCAATTTGTCATTACTCTCAAGCTAATTTAATAATTTCTCAGATGTAAAGCTCTATCCAACAGCGACTTGCTAAGTGGTTACCAAGAGGTTCTTTTAGTAAAATAAAACAAACTTTTACAAAAACAGCCCACAACTGTGGCACAATTTGATTTTATTTCTTTGCTCAGTGTCACTTTTTACAACTTTTCCTAGTAGATATTATTTATAGTGTAGCCAGCTCCACAAATATGTTCACATACAATTCAAAAACTATTTCCAGAATCAGTTTTGAGCAGAATTTGTATGTTATAGATTTAAAAAATTGATATTTGTGCAGTTGACTCAACTGTCATTGGACTCATTAGAATCAGGAGAAATATCAGTCTCCTGAGAGTAATTACCAGTAAAATCAACAAGATGCCTACTTTAAAAATTGGCCACGTTTACATTCTCAAAAAACTGTGTCAATACAAAGATACATTACATTGAGACAAATTGAGATAGCACAGACATACAATATGAAAGGATTTTGTGCACGTCACAATGTTTAAAATACAAACATGTCACAAGGGAATGGTTCGCTTTAGTTAGGATTTTATTAAAAAAAGATTATGCTTTTTACAATATTAATTAGTGCTAATTATGATAACTTCACCATGAGAGGAATCTAAAATGAAGTTTTATGTACATTAAGTAGTTATTAATTCATTGCTACTGAAACAAAACATTAAAATTAGTTAGCAGGTTGAGATGACTGAAATGTTTATTTTCAGTATTTATACTATATAACAATGTATCAGCACACATTCCTTTGCAGAAACAAACTATTGCTTGTCAAAACTCACATACGAAAAGGCGTAATTTGTACATCATAAATCATCTAATACAATCAACATTCAATTTAATTTATTTAGAACACAAATGTGCCAATTTAATGGAATTAGTTTTGAAATCAAAGAGCTGTATACAATAATATTAACTACCAATTCTACTACAGCACACAAAATATAATCTCAGTATGCAGCTCTGTGATTTAGCAAAACATTTGAAGTATTGCTGGTTTCATATCCACTAAAGGGAGGTTGAGAAAAGCCAATTTCAATTGTAAGGTCAGTTGTAGTCCATGCTAGGCAACCGTTTCTGTCTCCATGGGCTCTTCAGCACCAGTTTTCTTTTTCTTCTTCTTGTTCGACTTCGCAGAGGAGTTGAGTAGGGACTGGAAATAAAAATAGATAGATCAGTAAAAATAAATGACCATCATAATCTATTAAAATCACAAAAATTAGAATTTTTACATTTGTTGTAATTGTTCAAACCAAAATGTAATTGAAATACAAACTGGCTCAAAAAAATCACAATTTCTATACCCTGTGCTTGTCCATAGCACACTATTGTTAAATGTGCTATGAAATATTATCAGGGACATAACAATCAAGTGCCTTTGGCATAAATAATAAGCAAATGCCAATTCTGCAGGTATAAAAAACTGTACCATGCAATTATGAGTTGTATATCTACTAACATTGAGTTCAGGGTCCTTGATGGTGCGATCGCTCTTGCACTGGCTCTTGTCGAATGGCAGGCCGGTGATGCGGTGCGTCCCGCTGGGAAGCAGTAGCGCCGTGAACTTGAACTGCGCTACTAGCTCGCCGGGCCGTTCATACAACACCTGGAAAAATACAGCTAAGGTCAATATGTGTCAACCTTTTTTAGAACTTGTCTTTGGAAAGCTGTGTGTATAGTTGACTATTTTCATACTTCTATAGTTGACCTTATGCTTACTCACTAGTAGTTTACTACTTATTATTATTATGTAGTTTGTTGTTTACTTCTTACTCACTATTGACTAATCAGATGTTTACTATATTTTATTGTTTTGATTGAAGAATTATTATTAGTACAATTCAAATATTACCTGGAAGGGCTCAATGAGTTTGTGGTTTACACATTCAACAACTCCCAGCCTGGCACTGGTCTCCTTGTCAAAACTGCGAAGGTTAAATGGCATGTTGCCATGTTTGT